TATGTGTGACCAGAGAATCAATCATTCCGTGTTCCGAGTTCTTTCTCTTTAAAACCTGCACACTAATTGCATATCACAGAGAAATCTTTTGTAAACTACAAAAGAACTTTTGTACACTACAGAAGAACAGACCTTTGTGATTTTCTATACTGCCTCAGTAGTAGTAACAATCACTGAGTCAGTCTTGCAGTACTTTGAAGCTGAAACACTGAATATGTTAGGATAATATGGCACCACTCTTAAATATGTGTAGACTTTGACTCTGGGTAAGGACTATTTCTCCTTTTTTTTTTTTTTTTCCCCTCTTCCTCTTTTATGTTTCCTGTGATGGACTATTTCTTATGTAGCTAAAAGGAAAGGAAAATGGTGGGTTGATCAACTTGTAAACCTCAATCGTGAGGTTGTCATTTAGACTATACCTATTTCATTATGTGCATAACAGTAGCTATGCTTCAAATTAAAGAAGATAAATCTAAGGAGAAAATTATTTAAGCCAATGGACAGCTTGGTCAAGAACACAATTATAGGCTCCACTTAAAAATTTACACAGCTAAGTGATACAGCAAAACAGAAATGGAAGGACTGTATTTAAATCAAACTAATTCCAAATCAAACGTGGAATGACCAGATGCAATGGATGTAGGAAGCAGACAGGAGAGGATTAGGTATTAATTACAAATTATGGGAGTAATCTCCTTCCCTTAGAGTCCCCACTCAGAATTATTTCGAGTAATAAGAAAATATATTAAAAATAGCATGGTTTAGTGAGTTAGTGTTTTGTGAACAGTGTTTTGCTACCTCAGTGATGCTGCACACATCCTCAGGCTGTGGAAGCCAGCTAATAGTAACAAAGGCCATATGGAATGTCAGCAGAGGAAAACATACGGAGGAGTTTTTTGCAAATCTCTTAAGGATTTTTATCTCCAGAGAACTGTGCAATGTAATACCTTACTGAACCGGGGTCAAAGAAGGAAAAGACCAACAAACTTTTTTCCTCGTGGAATTAAAAAAAAAACCAAAACACACACAAATCCCCACATGCTGTTTAAAGGGCACTTTAACAAAAAAAAAAAATCCCAACCCTTAGCTTGTAACATTTTCTGGATTCATCTGGTTCCATGTTAGTGAAAGGTATTTATTTTCTTCTTGTTCTTTAGAGTCACAGGCTGGAGTACGATTGTATTAAGGGCAGGAAATGTTTTAGAGATTTCATTTGGAAATTGGCTAGTTTTTAGGACTGCCTCTTTGTTTTAATAGAGGCAGAAAATGATGTTAGAAGACATGATGTTACGAGATTTCTGATCGTCTCTGTGGAGAAATCTGATGGAATTGTCCCTAAAACTCAGGAACATAAAATGACACGGATCATCTACCCTAGCCTGTACCTGCAACCATGTTATATTTGTGACCTATAAAGTCATAGTGTCTTCCTGTAAGGTCTTAATTTTCAGATGTTTTGTTGATGCTACTTTGGTGAGAAAGGTGTTTAAAAACCTGATTTAAACAATGAATTCTTGGCAAAAAATTGTTACGTTTAAAAAAAATTATTTTGTCCCTTGATGTATATACTTTAAATTTTGCATGATTCTTTTCAGCATACTGAAAACCTTCAGAATTTTACCTTCTTGCTTGTAAGAGAGAAAAACTGACAGCCTCCCTATTTTGAATTTGTGTAGTCTGGAGGAATTTCTGTCAGACAGGTTAGCAGGATGTCTGTAAAATCAATTTTGAATGCTAAGCACTGTGTAAATGAACAGACACCCTTTTCATACTTGCATTTTTCTGTATGTGGGCAGCCTTGTTGCATGTCAAATGTAGATTTAATATGAATTACTTCAGTGTTGACAGAAAGGTGTGGATTCCTCCTTCTCCTTTGCATGTGTTTAGCTTGTTTAACAAGATGTTGTTATGATGCATTTCTTGTCTGAAAAGTGGGTTTTGTAATCAGCTTTTTGGCAGTGTAGGCAGGTTTAGTATTCAGTGTAATACCACTTTTTTTTTTTTTTTTGTTTTTGTGTTTTTTTTTTTCCCCCCCCCCCCAGTGGTTACTTTTTAGCCAGAACAGTTTCTTAACTGCCCCAAACATATTCAGTGTGTGATGCACGAGTGTTTTCAAGGTGCAGCATGCATGGAATTGTTTTTGAGTTGCAGCAGTGAACGGAAGGCAGTAAGGAAGGGAAGTGTGGATTGCTTCTGCAGTGGTGTGGGCTCATAGCTGATGATGTCCTTGGTATTTTCAAGGGCTTCTCACTAAGGTATTGGTGAAAGGCCTCAAAGCTCTGACCTTGTGTGTCTGGACCTGTCTCGTGCTGTGAAACACACTCTGTAACCGCTTTTCTTTTGTATTTGAGGTTTTATCATCTTGTTCTCTTTAAGATGGTTTTGAGGTGTCTTCCCCCCCCCCCCCCCCCCCCCGAGATTTTGTTCAGGTGTTGGGCAGTTACTTTCTGTTAATAGAGAGTGATAATTTTTACCTTTCTACTTTCTGTAGTGGAAAGCTGAATGCTGCTGAAAGGTGTCAGCTGAAGAAACTTTAGTTGAAGATCATTCACAAATGGAAGAGCTGCTGCCAGAGCAAACTTTTCCTTGCTGACCTGTTGACATGCTCTAATTGCAGGTAAGATAAGTGTGTGTATGTGTGTTAGTTTAGAGCAGAAGTCTGTTTGCTGAACCGTGAGCTTTCTGTTTGCAATTATTTGGGTGTCAGGTTTGCATTTGTCAGTATTTGCAATTTGCTTGGTATCAGGTCAGTTTTTGTGTTATGGACGCCTGTCCTCTGAAAAGTGGGCTTGAGACTTCAGTCTTATTTAAAATGTCAAATAGAGTCTCCAGTAGCACTGAGTTGCATTTAGACAACGTGGACCTGGAGCGTCCTGTCGGTGTCTGGTGTTTCAGTTCTGTTCGTGTTAATGCCTGTACAGTAGGACAATTGTGTAATATTCCTGTGGCAGCCACAGTAATTGCTTACATGGGAAATGAATATACAGCAATCATCAAATGCACTTTAGCTGTCCCGTAGTGCCCTGTGACTTCTGGAAAATAATATTATGTGACCTGTATACCCCATAAGTCAGCTGACAAGAACTTGACAGCCTGTAGCAGGATTTTCTTGAGTTGGCAAGACTTCTTTTTTTTTTTTTTTTCCCTCAAATATTTCCACGTTGTTTGGACTGTGGGATATGAAATAGTTGAAATGCCTGTCAGATGAAGAATATACGTTTTCTATTTTAATTCTGACTCTTAACAGTTACAATGTAGAATACGAAAAGAGCTGAAGGAGGAAACACTTGTCTTCTCCATCTGAGTTTAAAAATCGAGCACAAAAACTTTGGAAAACCTTTTTCAACAAAAACCTGAAGAAGGGGTAGAGGCTCCTAGACTTTGTTTTGTTACTGGATCATCTTACTTCATGTTACTCTGAAGTGAAACCAGTCAGCTGAGAGATGAAAATTCAGGTGTTTTCCCCGACCTGATCTATAAGCAGGAGTGTCATTTGGTACTTGATGCAACACTGTACATCTGCTTTGTTTTTATTAGATAAGCTGTTTTACAAGGTGAAAAGGGCTGAACACTTAATGAGTCACCCTCCCAAGAGATGCTTATTCTCAGTTTGCGAAAGGGGCTGATGAAAGGGTATGCAGCGGGGTGTGGTCTTCATAGCCTGACTTGGCATCATTTGGGGTGGAGATGTGGGTGTTAACTGCAAGATTGTCATAAGGAAGTTGTGTGCAGGAGAGAAGCCCAAGCTAGCTAGGGAGGGAGCCTGATGTGTGGGTGTGAAATGAGGCTGGGATTAGTATAGACAAGCTTGAAATCATAGAAAATCTGACAGTGTGTTCAGTTTCCAGAGTTGTGTTTGTTGGATCAGGTAAAGCATTCGTACCAGTCAAACAACATTAGAAAGGCAAACAAATATGAAATGATACTTCACAATAACCACTAGTTCCTGGGTTTTATATATCCAAGTTTTCTTTGAAACTGTTTAGAAAAAAATTGAATAGCTGATAGATATTAACTAAATATTAACTGTCTGGTAAACTCTTGTGCCTTGTTTGTTGTTATTAAAATGCCACTTTATGAGAATGAACACCATTTTTCAGAAGCCATTCATATATCGTGTGTCTGATCTTATCCTCTCCTGAAATGATACATAGTCATGCTTCCACCTCCTTTTTGATGCAGTTTGTTGCAATTCTTGAAGCTGATGGGAGACTGTTTTGTCAAGTTGGAAGTGAGGATATTATTCTTCTCATCCTAACCTGTGCTGCTCTGTAACGATTAGGGAGGCATCTGGCTTCTCTTTAACAGCTTGTACAAGTTCCCAAAGTATCATATCAAAGTATCTTCAGGAAACTGAGGGGCTGCAGATACGCTGATGCTTGGCAAGTTAAGTATTTAGAATGTTATTGTTTCCACTCTCTGAAGGAATTAATTGGCAACTCTGACAGGTTTGTAAACCTGTTTTACTAAATGCAAGTATTAAAATGCTTCTGAATGTCAAGCCTTGTCTTAAAAGCTCAGTTAGCAGGGTGTTTCTCCACAAGAACTGCATATTCTCAACACTAATGGCACCATATCCAAAATTTTTTGAGTATCACCTTTTAGCTGTACTGAGCTACAGCTACTCCATGGTTTTCTGGCTGCGTGGAAACAACTTTGGTTGCCAAAGTGATTATTTCTCCATCAGTTGCTGTAGGTGAGAGTTCTTCAGATGATTTGAAGCGTTAGAACTTAATACCTTGCATAAAGACAAGTTTGTTTCTTTCTCCTGTGAGAAGACAAAAGAACAACAGTTGTTAGTTTAAACCAGAGTCCGGTCTCATTCTATAACTTCATTTACAGCAGTGTACAGCTTTCAGTTAGCTGTTTCTTCTTTCCTTGACTTAAAATCTAGCTGTGCTGCTGGAAAAGCAGTACAGTCACTGATGGCAGGCAGTGACCTGAACCAACACAGTGACATGAATTCTTTCTCTGGTTCTCATTTGTTCCTAATCCATGTTAGTTTAACTCACCAACTATACTAGTATGTTTGAGTTCCCCTTAGTTTACCTAACAGTAGTAATGAAAAACAAATTATGGTTTCTTTATGTAAGATCTTTAGTATCTTGTCTAAGATTGTTAAGTATCTGTGATTACCAGCCCTAGTCCCAACTTGTATTAAAGCCTTCATGTTTTTTATCAGAAAATATTAATGCGTCTGAAACAAGTATGTTCTAATAAATTTTTGTTTTCAATTAAACTTTTCTAAGTAAGACTTCCATAGATTCAGGTTGGACTTTCAGAATGAAAGAAGACTCTTAAGTGGATAAAATTGCATTAGTTATATGCAGTATCTTAGGACCATGCTTCCTTTCAGCTGTATTCTTCCTATCTTGTGATGTGGAGTTTGTTTGTTTGTTTGTTTGTTTTTGTTTTGTTTTGTTTTTTTCTTTGGTTTGGTTTGTTTTTTTTCTCTGATGGCAGTTTGTAGGGTTTTGACTTTGTTCTGATTTAAAAAAAAAAGCAGAAAAATTTTCCTCCCCACTCAGGCTTGTGGGGAGGAAAGTGTCTTTTCCGTTTAGCAGTGAGTTTGATCTTAGGAGCAGTCCGGTAAAAACTTGGTTACTGTCAGTTATCTGAAATTAATATTATAGAGGAAGATACCACTCTACTGATGTAGGTAATTTTTAAACTGCCTTGAGCTTCACAAAATATTAATATTAATAGAAAATAGCTATTACATGATTTATATTTTACTCTTTCAAAGGGTTCCTCAGGCCAGTTGCAGGCTACTTCTCATGGCCTTCTTTAGGAGTCAGTGATGTTCTATGAATAATTTAAATGGTTCTTATTTCTAATCTTTCATCACTATATACTAGCATACAAATTTGCTCTCGCTGTGATGCTGAGGGAGAGATCTGTAGGGGACACATCTGCCTGGCTGTTTGCAGAAGTATAAAGATGTATACTTTGCTTTCATAGCACATAAGGCTCTTGCTCTTCCTCAGCTCAAGATAAACAAGGAAAAAGCTTTTGTATATATCACATCATGTGAGGTATTCTTCGCAGAGTTTCAGGGTATGTCATAAAGAATGTTTAGTCCAACATCCTGACTTACTTGTCATTGCTTGTGTCTTGAGTTCAATCAGGCAAATGCGTATTTTGCCCTGAAGAGTGAAGCACAGCGCAGGGAAGTGTTTAATGGCAGGTAGAGGCCACTGGCATGAAGATATAGAAAAGTATGACAGGTTCTCTTGTAATAGTGACAACTATTTTTCTAAACCTTGGTCTTATTGAAATAAAAATAGCAAGTAGTTACTGTTCTAAAATTGGCTACCTTAGTACTGAATCACCTTACTACTGAATCAATGTAAATTGTGCTTGGTAGCAGACGTATGGAACCTAAGGGACTTTGGAGCCATTCTTAATGAAGGCAATTTGGTAAGCTCGGTGTTAGAAATTAAGAGATTTTATGATAGACTTAAAGAAGCCACAAAAAACAAACCAGAAAAAAAAGGGATTATGTTTTTATAATAAAACTGAACATTATCAACATAACAGTTTTATGTTTATTTTGGAGGAAAAAAACACCATTGTGAGGGCAGTTAACTTAGAAGGAAAAAATAATGTTAATACAAAATAAAATTGTAGAACAAAGTCTTGAAGGATTAAATTCTCAGTTGACACATTTTTCTGTGCATCATTGTTCAGTACATCCCAACATTTTTTAAAACAAAAAGCATTTTAGCATAAAGCTAGTGTGGATTAGTTAATTTGTTTATTATAATTTTCAAAATATAAACTTGGGATAAATGGAAGAGAAGAAGAGTAATATATATTGCTAATATATAGGCCTGTAAGAACGGATTGAATTGGAACGCTAAATGTTCATTAGGTTTTTGTTTTGTATTTGCAATGCTAAAATCTGCTGGGCTGAAATATATCATAGAAACCTCTCTGTAGCTGTTGTCAGACAAGCTTCTTGTTCATCAGACAAGCAGTGGAGATAATGAAGGTCAATGTATTTGTTGTATATGGAGCAGTGGGGATTGCTGAGGGTTTTCAAGCTGAGCTGTTCTCACTATAGGATTTGATGGAAGAGAAGGAGTCAGGAGAATATGTGCACCATCCCAGGTGTGTGGTGATGTCTCTGGCCATGTGCACTCCATGGGCTTATTTAATAGTCTCTTGATTCTGTAAATTCAGTGGGTTTTGTCTTTTTCTTTTAAATAGTTTAAAAAATCATGTATGCCTTTGGTAACTGTCATGGTCTGTAACAATGAGTTCTGTAATTTGTCACAAATTAGCACATGTGCAGGAGCAGAGATGGGAAGAAGAGTTACCCAGAGGGAGGAGGATGTAGCATACAAGTTCTGGGTGTCTAAATCATGTATTGGGTACTAATATTAATTTTTTTAAGGACTCTGTCTGTGTTTATTGAATGTTTCAGAGCTATGAATGTACATTGTCATTCATCGCTCTGGTTTCCTGAGAATTTTTTTTAAAACTCTGGTTTGCTACAAATAGAATTGGATTATAATGAAAAAATAATCTGTCACCTAATTCGAGGGTACTGTTGGGCTTTTTAAAGCAGCATTTGTGGCCTTTGTTTCATATTAAGTTCAAGGTTGTAAAATG